CTTTTTTTTTTTTTTTTTTTTTAGCTCTTTCCTCAAAAGTCAGTAGTTAGTAAAGCCTCCCTTTCTAGAATTTCCAACTTCTCAAGATATTTCCTAGCCCATTTCCCTGTTCATCTTGCCTTAGCATTATCTCAGTTCAACATCATTTTACTTAGTTATCCTGTCTCACCAACTAGAATCAAAGCTTCGTGAGGGCAGAGACTATGCCTACTGCCATTTATCTCTCTAGCCCCTGGAATAGAGCCTGGTGCATAAATAGGCACCTACATGTTTGTTGAATGAATGAGTGAATGAGTTTAACGAGATGATGTGTGTTCAGTAGCATGCCCAGAACTCTGCCTGAACTGTGAGTTGGTTGGGTAGGTGGTCTCCCGGGTCCGCTCCAGCTCTGAGAGTCCAGAGTTCTAACAGCAATCTCAGATTCAAGTGAGGCTTTGACTCGTGCTTGCAACTATTGCCTTAATGATTATCTTCTGATATCTCTTAGCATGCTAGACACTTAAATTTCTGAATTCCAATCCTTGGTGAGCCATGTGTTATCTGCAAACTTCCGAGCTACTGCTGAATAGCAGGTGGGTGGCGCAATGGCATTATCGACTAGGGAAAAATCGCTCCCCACTGAGTCACCCCCAAGCTCCCTGCATCCCTTTGGTTTACAGAGCAATTTCGTTTCTCCTCCTAATCTCTCATTTCAGCCCTCCCACTTTCCTTTGAATAACGCATAAGCCGGGAGCATTGTCCTGCTGGCATCCACTGAATGATCCCTCTCCCTACTTAAATTCCTGATGATTAGAGACACGGAGCAGTGACATGACTAATCAAACACGGGGCATTTTCTTCTTATCTCGGTCACATTCGTTAATTCATAACCGCTTCGCTTCGCCAAGAGTAGGTGTCCAATGCGTGCTTTCCAGCTGACTCAGTTATCCCAGCCTTTGTCTTTCCTTATCGTGTACAAGTCCCTTTTTTTATGGCCAGGAGAAGGCGTGTAATAAACGTTAATTAAACTGATGAATGTGCTGAGCACTTTAAAGGTTTCTGGTGACTGGATGTGACCTGGGTTAGGGACAGTCACATCTCAGGAAGCTTAGCCTCTTAGTATACTGCAGGGTTTCGCTAAGTGTTTCAGGAATTATACCGATTGAATAATAATTCACAACTGAGGGAAAGGTCAGGGATATTGGATGCTCTGGGGAACTCCAGGCATCCAGGAGCATCTTTATCTGCTCTCTGATGGCATCTTTGCTCCCCGAGTCACAGCCCCTCGCTCCTGTGGAGCTTAGTGATCACGGAAGGGGGACAATGCAGCCTGATGTTTGGCACAGCGGAAAAGCCAATGCGCATGTTTTAGATCCTGCTCTTAATTTTGGAGATTCACTTTTTTCTGCTTTAGTATGAATTTCACATCATACTTAAAAAGCCAATTACAAACACTAAATTAAAAATATATTCCCTTGTTTAGACCATTTTATATTTCATTTTAATGTTAAAATTTCTAATTAGCCTAGAATATATTTTTATACATCCTGTGGTAGAATTATAGTTTTATTAATTTTTTTCAAAATCCAGCTGATTATTAAACCATTACTTATTGAATAATCCATTCTTTCCCCATTAATTTGAAATACTACCTTCACTTTATTTTTAAAATAAAGGGACTTCTCATATAAAGGTGATTCTATTACACTGATCTGATTTTGCATCAGAACCACACTTCATTGCTATATAGTTTGTTATGATATTGGGTAAATTTTCAAATTTCAAAATATAAAATCATTACAATTACTTTAATTCCATAGATTAATTTGACATCTGTTATATCAAACTGTGGTCCAGGGCAGTGATTCTCAAATTGTAGGGGCCCTTGAACCTCTTCAAAGTGGGGGCCTCAAGGTCAAATCTTTTTTCATAATAACAATAAGACACCATTTGTTTTCTCCCCTGTATTGACATTTGCACTAATGGTGCAAAAGCAGTAGCCGGTGAAACTGCTGGTACCTTAGTACAAATCCAGGCAGCGGCCGCCAGCCCTGACAGTGGTCCCTGCGTTGCTCGTTGGTGCACGTGTTGTGGTTCCTGCAGCGGTTCAGGTTTCTGAGGCCTGGTCTGCTGTGTTTTTCCGGCGCTGCTAAGGCTTCTCCCTGCCCAGTTCCTGCTGGTGCCACCCGCAGGGCCAGAAGGTTTATCCCGTATGCCTGTTCTCACTGGTGACCTTCTGGGGTGGGGGACAAACCCCGGGCCTGGTTATGCCGCTGCTTGAAAGGCAGAGACATTGCTTTGGTGCCTGGGTGTAGAGTGGCATCCGGGGCATCCTAGGACTTCACTGCTGCCCCTTTTGGAGGGGAATGAGGCTGCCCACCAGTGGCCTGGTTGTGAAGTGGGCTCTGGAAGACCCTGGGACCTCCTGACGTTGCTATATCGGACCAGATGGCTCCCTCCCTGGGCCCAGCAGAGGAGCAGGTGTTGAGAAAGTCTGGGGCTCTGTTGCTGTCTGCTGCAGGCCGACCCAGCTTTGCGGTGGGAACTGGGACGGCCCAGGGCTTTCCCTGGTAGATGGACTCCTGCAGGAGCCCCAGCTGTGGAGTGGGGGTTAGGGACCCCCATTTGTTCTTTGTTTGGCTTCCCTTCTCTTGGACTTTGGGCCATAGCAAGCACGCCTTGTTGTGGTGGTTGTATGGTTTCTGTTGGTCTTTGGTTTTCGTTGTCTATGCCTTTTGGTGGCTCCAGGGTGCAAGTCCTTTTGGTCCGTCCCCAGTTTGGGGGTACAGGGAGATAAAAAAGGAAAATCCAGGGAATCCACCGCATTGCCACTCCTCAAGTCTTGAGGCCTCTCTGCCCAGTCCACTTTCTTCTCTATGCAGCTCTCAATTACTTTACCTTTGCCCGATGAATAACTTTAACGGTAAATAGTTGTATTTAGAGGAAGGACCAGGGACAAGTGAGTTTACATGATCTTGTTGTAGAATTAGACATCACTGCATACGTTTTGAAAAATTCAAGAAATTGAGAAATAAAAATGAAACAAATTGTCAAAGTAGGTTGACTTTTGATCTCAGTTGCCATCATAAATGTTTTTTAACATGTTTGTTTATTTTTACAGGAATTATGTTGGAATATGAGAAGAATGGAGTGTTGAAGACCAAGTCTATAGATTTGCTGGATCTCAGTCCCAGGTAAGCCAGCTATACAATGCGACATGCATTTCATATCCAGTTTTTGCTTGGGAAGCCATGACAGGGTGACGTATGGATGAGCTGCACAAGCTCAGACACACGTTGCTTTAAAAGTGTTCTGTGGTGTGTGATTTCCTGTTTGTTTCGATGAGTTCTACTTGAGTGTCTTGTTGAATGAAGAGGCTGCGGAAAATGGATCATTAGTCTGCCCTTTCCCCCCTACACAGACCTTTTTAAATAGAAGTAAACCTTTCAGTTTAGGATAGTTTTAGAAAAGTTGTGAAGAGGAAGTCTCCACGTACCCCATCCTCAGTGTACCCTATTCCTATCATCTTAGATTATGATGGTACATTTGTCATAATTAATGAACCAGTGTTGATACAGTATTATTAACTAAAGAGTATATTTTACTCAATTTTCCTTGGTTTTTGCTAAATCTCTTTTTCTTTTCCAAGGTCCCCTCCAGGAGACCATGTGACATTTAGTCGTCCTCTCTCCTTAGGCTCCTCACGGCTGGGAGGGTTTCTTGAATTTGCCTTATTTTTGAAGCCCTTGACATTTTTGAGCAGTGCTGGTCCTGAAATTTTAAGAACATTCCTGAGCCTGGTGTTTTCTGAGCAGATAAACATCTCATAGGGCCGCCTGCCCACGATCTTCCGCTGTAATTGCCATGGGGCAGAGTTGGGAGGAATGAATTTTTGTTTCTGATGTTCGTGAGCCCAGAGGAAATCCCCCTGTGAGACGACAGTGCCAAGAATTCCTTCCCTGTAGGAAACCTTATGCAAAGCTCCACTTCAAGAGATAGAATCAGAACAGTGATCATAGCCGTGGGAGCCCCCGTTCAGATAAGGTGAAGATATTCTGAATGGGACAAAAACCAGGACAGAACTACTGCAGTCTGTTTTCGAGTAGTGCCCCAGAGAAATGAGTGACTTCCCCCCGCCACTGCCCTTTTGCTTCGACTTGGTTTTGGGAGGGCAACAGAGCCTGTCAGCAAAGGGACTTACTCAACAGTCCATGAGCTGCCGTCTAGTTTAACAATAAACCCAGGCAGCCCCTGGCCGGTGAGAGCAGCTGCGGGGCCTGGAGTCTGTCTTAGGGTGGGACCGGGTGCGGCTCGGATGCGATGCTTACGGCGGAGTCCAAGTCCTGTTTCAGGTGCCTGGCACAGAGGAGGTACTCAGAAGGTGGTTTTTGTTTCGTTGTGTTTTTTTTAAATCAAAGAGTAAATGGCAGCAAAGATAATGTCATTGAATTTCATCTATTTTCAGGGAAGACAAGGCCGCAGATGAAGGCGAGCTTTTTTGCTATTTTGGTGAAGGGATCATGTTTACTGATGTGTGTGGTGATGCCAGCAGGCAGAAAGCTCTGCTGTTAGACATTAATTTTTCGGTCAGTAATGATGTATTTGCACAGTCTTCATGTAAAGCTCTAGGTTAGAGTCTACGAGAGGCTATAAAGGTACTAGTCATAACCCCCACCTCAGTGTCTAGTTTGAGAAACAACTTGTACAATACAGACGCACATCATGTGAGTGGTGAAGACAAAGTTCTCTATGAGAGTGGAGCTTCCAGGTGGAAATTGAGAAATATGCAGATTTACGTTTAAAGAGTGTAGCTCTTTAGGATGCTGTAGCCATTGATAGAGTTAATAAATGTCTCAGAGGTTTTTTTTGGTTTTTTTTTTTAAAGCATGGGTCTTATTTCTAGGTCTGCCTGAGAATCTGGAAGTATTCTGCCCATAAAGATACTTGAGTTATGTATGACACACTGGAGTTAATATACTGGAAAGTAGCAATTAGAACAGGACCTCAGGGCCAGGATGTGCTGATTAAATGTCTGGTTAATTTAGATCTTGCTAGGAAATCTGTATTGATTCGTACCATTTGTTGGGAACTCTCCCAAAAGGTGTTATTATGACTAATTCTTATGAAAGTATAATTTTTTCAGTAACCGACTGTCTCGGAATTTATCAAAGGCATCATCATAAACGGTCTCGGGTTTATTTCCGTTCCACATACTCACTGCTACCCTGATAGATTGTACTTCTCGAGAGCTGGGGTGTCTCTTTTGCAGTCCCAGCACCTCACCCACAGAGGTTACTCAGTACCTGTGCGTGGAGTGAGGAGTGTGCTAGCTCAGTGCCTTGCACGGACCGGAGCTCAGGGACTGTTCGCTCAGGAGGAGCAAAACTCAGCAGTGTGAGTTTCTGGGAAGCAGGTGCTGAGACAGGTAGGTGGGTAAAAGGTTCCTGGGCAGCGACACCTGTGACAGGCCAGGGGCTCAGGCAGGAGGAGCCATGGACCAAGATGATGCGGATTTGACAACAGCCTCTGACAGCCCACAGGGGAGCTCCGGAGTAGAGCTTGCTCTGGTCACCGGGGTTTCTCATGCACCAAAAATGGCCTGGCTCTTGCACTGTCCCTTTGCTCAGCCATGGGCTGAGGCCAGCCCCGAGCTCAGATGCCCAGCTGGGCCCTAACACCGCTGCAGCTGGAGGCTGTCCGCTACTCGTCACCCCCTCGCAGCCGGGCCACATGGCCTTTCTTGAAGGATGGGCCCTGGACAGGGAATCGTTTACTCATGTTTTGCAAAACTACCTCATTTTAGATGCTTTGTGGTTTAGAGTCATTAATATTTGTCTAGATCTAATATTATTCTGGACCAGCAAAATTTATGAGAATTGCTATAGATTATTTGAGTACCAGGGAAAGCCATGAATCTGTTGTTTTCAGACCAGCTCTCTTTCAGGGAAATCATATTCTAGCTAATAAGAAATATTCATAAAAATCATCACTATCCCATGAATGTTTATTTTTGGTCAGGTACTTTCTCTTCCACCCCCCAAATATTTAAAACTTAACCTTTCTGAACCTCAATTCGTTTTATTTTATTACAAAGATAGTTATGATAAAAGCATTAAATTCGAGGGTTCTCCCAGGGTTAAATGAGAAAGCCTGTATCAAGTGGGAAGTATAGTAGTACCAGGAACATCCAATATATGTTCATTTAAAGGGAAAAAAGAAAAGAGAGAGAGGAAGGTCATGTTCAGACCAGTATGCCCTTGGCCCTCTTTAGGTAAGCAAGTCGGAATCTTTGCACCCCAACCCCCGCGGGAGAAGTCTCGGGAAAGGAAAATGCATCCTGGAGAACCCAAGCTGTTTCCATCCCTGCCACGTGCTCTCTGTTTATTTGCATGATTTACCCCCAGAAATCTCTTGGTACAGAGGACGGTGTTCTGGACATTTCATAAACGCTATGCTTCGTAAAACAGTGCAACTCTTCGTGTGCCAAATGCACATGCCACTTTTGCACAGGAGAAGTGACTTTCTCTTTGTTATCTTAGCACTGACGTCAATGCCTTAGTGGAAGAGATACAGAGAGCAGAGCCTCTGATCACAGCTTCACGGTCAGACCAAGTGAAACTTTTAATTCAGAGACTGCAAGACAAACTCATACAGCACAGCGACCACGTATTCGATCTTTTCAAGGTAATGGGTGCTTTAAAAATACCAGGTAGAGCTGCAGTGATATACTGCTCATGTGAGGTCAAATGCAGATCCTGTCTTTCCTTCCCCTCAGTGCCTCACACGCGCTTGCTAAGGCTAAGTCCCAATGAATATTTGTTGAACGAAGTTCAAACATTAATTTCTTGAGGTTTAATAAAGATTTGTAGTAACTATAGCTGTTCTTTATAATGATACATTTAAAGGGTAACCATTAAGGCAAGGCAGCTTTCAGTTATTGAATAATTAAAATTATTTTTCCAGTTAATGTTAAGAGGTGGTGTTTCACGGCATATCAGTATTTCAGACTTTCATGTGAACCAAACGGTACTTCAGTAGATTATTTACTGATATGGCTTCCATAACAATTTTAATGCCGCATAAATATGCTTATTTTTATTTATAGTTTTTGATTATTAAATTAAAAAGATAACAAATGAATAACTTTTTATTAACAATATTTAATAGTTTCTTCTAGAATAGCTTCATGTTACATTGATTTAATTATGCATGGTTTAAATCTAAGTATAATAAATTATGGTTGTCGTTTACATTCTCAGTATATTCTGTCTGATACAAATGATTAAGGCCATCTTTTGTATCCATCCCTTCAGTTTACTGAGAGATGAGGAGATTCTTATACTATTTCTTTGTCCAGCAGGTGGCACTATTTAACTTCAAATACGAGCTCTACACTGAGCGTGACCTTGTAATTTACCCTTCAAAGGGGACATCTTTTGACAGTGAAAGAAAACACCATTAATAGTAGTTACGCTCCCGAAATAGACGTAACTGAGTCTGCCCCAGCCTAGTCTATCACGCTGTCCATAAACAGACTGCCCAATTTATGCATATTTATCCACTAAGCATGGAGCATCCACTATGTGCTAGATAATGTAGGGGCTGAAAGATAAATAAAATAAGACCTATCCTGACTCTAAAAAAGCTTTAGGATTCAAAAGGTAATAATACATTGTAAACGTATTTAGTGTATTTCCTCTATACATATGCACAAAACCATGTGTACCAGGTTAAAAGAAAGCATCATAAGTTAGTGCTATGTGAGATCTTATTTAATAGCAATAACTTCTCTTAAAGGCAAATTGATGGGACGCACAGACCCAGTTCAGTTATGTTTTTGTCATTGTTTGTAGCTACCAAATGTATTACTGGTCATAATAATAGAAGGAGCAATATATTTTTTCTCATTTGTTCAGATGTTGGATATTGCCCATTTATTACATATAATTAAGATAAACTTGAATATTTTTATTGGTTTGAAATTTAATTAATTGGTTTGAATTATAATTAATGAATTAAACTTAATTTTATTTGAATTAAAAAGTGGTATTTTCTTTCATTGAAGGTTCTCAGAGCACACATACTGCCATTGACTAATGTCGCACTTAATAAATCGGGCTCTTGGTAAGGTTCTCTATTTTTTTAAAAAATTAATTTTATTAGGTTTCATTTTTTAGAGCAGTTTTAGATTGACAGCAAATTGAGCAGAAGGTAAAGATATTTCTTATATATCTCCTGTCCACGTGCACCCGCAGCTTCCCCCGCTGTCTACATCCCCAGAAGAGTCGTGCGTTTGTTACAGTTGATGAACCTAGAGCGACACATGACTACCACTCAAAGTTCACAGTTTTCACTGGGGTTCCCGCTTGACCTTGAGCATTCTGTGGGCTGACAGATGTGTAATGACATATACCCGCCACTGCGGTATCACGCGGAGCAGTTTCACTGCCCTGAGACTCCTCTATGCTCTGCCTATTTATTTCCATTTCTATTTTTATTTTACATATATATATATGTATACATATATAAATTTATAGTTTTTAATAATCAAGGGGTAAACACTTTAAAAGTAAAAATTGTGTATATTTAAGGCGTACAACATGATTTGATATACTTATAGCTACTGAAATAATTGCTAGTCGGGCTAATTAGCATATCCTCTCACAGTTACCTTTTTCCTGTGTGAAGAAAGCATCTGAAATCGATTCCTGTAGCATATTTTTCGTAATCAATGCAGTATCATTAACTGTAGTCATCACTGAGCCTATGTTGCCACAACTGGCAGATTTCCTCTCCCGTGGCTGAATAATATCCCATTATAGTCATCACATTTTCTTCACCATTCACCCCTCGACCAACACATTGATTCCACACCTGAGCTACTGTAAACAAGCTGCAGAGAGCATGGGAGTGCAGATACCTGGGGCACCCCAATCGCATTCCCTTGGATACATACACCCATCCGCAGGCAGAACTGCTGGACCACATGGCTGATCTATTGTTAATTTTTTGGGGGGAACCACCATACTGTCTCCCATAATGACTGTAGCGGTTTACATCCTGGGAGAGAATGCCCGGCGGGGAATCTAAGACCTGCCTTGGCTACCTTCCTGCTTGGTTGAGCTTAGGCATCGGAATCTGTTTCCACCTTTTATCGTTACCCCTTGACATGCAGACCCACTTTTCAATTTTGTGCTTTTTTTCTGTGTTGGAGAAATATAGTCCCTAATGGAATATTTAAGAAATAACTAAGATGCTATTATTTCACTTAAAAATATTAGAGGTCGATATACTACCTGTCTCCGTAGTAGAATAGTCATGTTAAGGAATCGTTCAGTATTAAACAGATATTTATTGAACACTTACTAGTGTGACAGTCATGTTCCAGGTCCTGGGGATGACGGTGGTGAACCAGGATGGTGGGTAGAAGGACTAGCATGCCCTTCAGAGCATGGGCTGATGAGGGTGCCCTTAAAGCCCCGGGGGGGCCAGGGCTGCTGGCCTCCTGGACAGGCACAGAAGGTTGAGTTTTTCTGCAGATTGCTAGAAGGCCATTTGGGGAAGATTTAGAAAAGTAACTCCAATTTTGGTGAGAAAAATCAATTTGTAAGGACCGTTTGTGAGGCAAGACCCATTAGAAGATGGTTCTATTTGTTTAGGCAAGAGATGGAGGCCGAATGGCCACAGCAGGCATGTACTCGGGGGCTGGGGTAACGGGATTTACTCACAGATTGTGTGTGGGACGCGGGAGGAAGAGAGGAACCAAGGATGATACCAGGAATTCGGGGGCTGACCAACTGGAAGGAAGAATGATGCTATTTATCGAGTTTCCAAAAGTGTTAGTGATTATCATTATTTAATATCATTTTTATTATAAGACTGATTCTTGGCAGGAACACGCTTTATTTTATTTAGTGACTCCTTTTTGGTTTGGGGATAAAATTGGAAAGTTCCTAAGGCAAAAGATTTAGATTCTGCTCCCAGTTTAACTGTTTGTTCTGCATGCACAATTTCTACGGCAACAAGCATGACAAAGGGGGTTACGATCTTGCAGGTAAAAAGAGGTCTTACGAACACGCTGCTGTTCTCCCCTGTGATTAACCGGTGTCCCCGTGTCAGCTTTATCACAGGAAGCTACGACCGAACCTGCAAAGTCTGGGACACGGCGTCTGGGGCGGAGCTCCTCACCCTGGACGGCCACAGGAACGTGGTGTACGCCATCGCATTCAACAACCCCTACGGGTAGGACACGTCGGCCCGTCCCCCAGGCCCTGCAGCCCACTGGGCCGCTTCCCCACCCCTCCGTCCGTCTGTCCGGGGCGGGAAGGAGGGAGGCAGGGAGCGAAAGGTTACCGCTGGCCTGATGGATGCTTGGAAAGCCTTCGAAACACCGCTTCCAGTGCGTAAGGGCGTTTGGGGACTGGCGTTGCTGTCCTCAGCGATGTGTGTGAAGTTCAAGTCCCCTGCCCGGGATCACACAACAGTCAAGAGGAGGGTAGGAGCCCGACCTCGAGGACGGCTGGCTTTGCCCTGGGGGGTGTCTGCCGGGCAGCCCCCCCTGGTGTCTGCAGCACTGGCTGATGCTTCTGGGGCAGGGGGCCTAGACGCTGGTAAAGTGGTTTACTTTGAAGTTCATTGAGAGCCTGAGCAGGTAGAAGAAGTTGCGTGTGGTAGCCTGCTAGTAAGTAACAGCACCAAACGCAGTAGAAGCGTTTTGAGACCGGCCTGCAGTTCCTGGGGTCAGCACACTGCCGGCGTTCCCTGTCTCTGCTGGGCCTGCCGCTGGTACCCAGGCCCCCGAGCGCTTGGCCTCGCCCCCGCGGGCTAGGTCCCAAGCGCACCGAGAGTCGGTGGTCTGGGTCCGTGAGCCTGCTTACGTTGGTTGCGTTTTCAGTTGTAATGATCTCATTTAATTAAATTTTGCTTATAACTGATGAAATATGAGTGTGAAAATGAAGCTGTTGTTTTCTGTGAAGACCTAGAAAAGGTGACTAATTTGAAAAAACTTAATATTTGAAAAAAACTGTAGATGAGATCAATGTAAAAATTGGAAAACACATTGTAAAAAATTGAAAAGAATCTGTGCTGAGATTGTTCTGCAAGTATTTTTAAGTCTAAGTTCTCATTCCATTTTTTAATTTTTAATTTTTATTTTTTTTATTTTAAAAAAAATATATCCTTATTGATTTCAGAGAGAGGAAAGGAGAGGGAGAGAGAGAGAGAGAGAGATAGAAACATCAATGATGAGAGAGTCATTGATCGAGCCCGCAACCCGGGCATGTGCCTTGACCGGGAATCGAACCCCGATCGCCTGGATCCTAGGTTGATGCTCAACCGCTGAACCACGCCCCGCTGGGCCTCATTCCATTTTTTTAAAATTGGAAATTTTGGAGGTTGGATATGGTTTATCCAAGGCAGATAATGAACTGGATGATTAGCTGACTGGTAAGTAAAGTAAAGTAAAGGCCTTTGTCTCTTATCAAAAGATTGACAAACGAATGTGTATCTGTACATATTTAAGTAAAAATTTAGACATGTATCTTTTTTTTCCCCAGGATTGCCTGCTTTGACTGAATTTTCCCATTAACCAAACTATGGCCCTTTATTATAGCGCTAAGATGACTAGAGCGAAAGTCAGTGGTTTAAAAGCTGAGAGAAGGCCATTGTGATTCCTCCCTGGTAGAGTCTTTGAGGGCGACCTGAGGGTAACAGGTGGAAGCTAGAAGGAGCGGCGAAGACACCCTGGCCGAGGGTCTTGGGCAGCTCAGGGTTTTGGGCAGGGCCTTGCCAGGCATGCTCAGCGGCCCGCTCCCCAGTGAGCATCTCACGCTGAGGAGCAGACGTGGGTGAGGTAGGAGCTTGCTGTGCAGCTTGGACGCTGTTCTGGAGGCCTGAGCTGCTATGAAAGGTTTGTGCCCTTTCAAAGGGTTGCTCTGGCAGAAGGAAGGGATCAGAGGGCGTGGGGTTTGGAGAAATGGGGGAAAAACAGGAGGCAAGGAGATTAGCTGGGAAGCAGATAAAATGACACATTCATGAGACGATGGAAGCTCGGTCCAGAATAGTGGCAGAGGCAATACAAGGTATTTTATAAAAATTTGCTGCACTAGAGTAAGAATTTTATACCACGGATATGATAAGCTTGACATCTAGTTGGCTAATGTAATAGTTTCTAGACATGCTAATTGTGATGGCACAATCAGACGTCATCGGTACATTAAAATGATTAAACATGCCAATTAAACTACAGAAAATTTAACTTTGATATACGCATTTTTAAATCGTAGGGTATGATAATTTTTATAATACCTTATTACACCAGCCTGTGGGAGGGAAGGATTTTATTAAAATTATAAATGACACTGTTTTACTTCTAGTGTAATTCACACTTTCAATTGCAATGTTATTTAAAGGCTTTTGAAAGTGTATTTTCTATCACACGCTATCCTTTCATAGTCTACTTGACAGAAGTGATATTTGGGGATGTCTGTCTGAGAACAGAGTGTTTGTTTGAGGATGGAGGGGGAGATGCCCTCCCCATTTTTTGGCTCTTCTGTTGGATTCTACCAAGAGTCCCTGGTGAAAAGGCACTTGCCCACCTCCTAGTTAGCCTAGTCTCACATTCCCTGTGGGCTGGACCAGTGCTTCTCACTGCACTTTGGGGTGTTGGGGTTTCATCAAAATGGGTTCAAGACAGTTGACTAAGAGAGTAAGGGGGTGTTTATGTGTTTGTGTGTGTGTGTGTGTGTGTAGGAGCATGTGCGTGAGAGAGAGAGATGAACTTCAACCAGCTTAGTGTTGATCTGTTTCATATACGAGGTCAGGAGTAAGCTTTGATTGAATCAAGTAATTTAAAAAGCATTGGAATTAGTAATGTCTTTGCTAACGTGGTGCCCTGTGGGTGTAGGAACAGAACGTGCTAGAACGGAAACCGGTCAAGAGCCAACAGCAGCTGGAGGCCTTTGGGTGTTGACCGGAGGCAGCCCCGCTGCGCTGGGCACATGGGAAGCCTCTCGCTTGAAAGGGACTGAGGTCCTGGTGCCATCTCCTCTCTGACTCTCGCTCTCGTTGAAAGTCCCTGCAACTGGAACTGCAGGGGCATCATTTCCCGGAGACGCTCACTGTCTCACTCCTTGAAACCTTACCTGGACACACGGTGAACCGGGTTTATATTTTACCATGGTTCTTTCAAATCCAGTGCTGTCCCCTTTAGGAGACCTGCTAACAGAATGTTTCTATGTTTATACAACTTATTATACGTTATTAATTTTCATTTGTTATTTGTTAGTAATTTTCTGAAGGAAACCTTCTGCCGGATTCATTGTACTAATTTAAAAAGCATTTTTAATCCCAAAGATATACCTTTAATGCAAAATATTTAAAATTAAACATACAAACTAATGCCATTAAAAAAATGAGACCTTTATTTTGTTACCCAGGAAGCAAATATAAGATTGCTTCTTGCTTTAAAAGGGAAGTAAATTCCCGAGCAGACAGAGATGCCTGTCCTAATGTCTTTCCTTAATTCAGTGTGTCGCATACTGCGGTTGAACCGGATTTCAAAATCCACATCTTTTTTTTTTTTAATCTTAGTGACAAAATTGCCACGGGGTCCTTCGATAAGACTTGCAAACTGTGGAGTGTAGAAACGGGAAAGTGCTACCACACCTTTAGGGGGCACACAGCAGAAATAGTGAGTAAATTTATTTTCTTATTGTTTTATGTGGCGGTTCTTTTGTTGTGTTTTATCTTTTCCTTTCTTTTCTATATATATCATATAAAATATTTAGGCTGATTATTTGCTGGATACCATTAGAACTAAAATTTGCATAGGCTTCATTTTTTTTTTAGAGCAGTTTTAGGTTCCTAGCAAAACGGAGAGGAAGGTAGAGAGATTCCTCATATTCTCCCTGCCCCCTTCCCACCCCACCCCCACGCGAAGAGCCTGTCCCATTATCTTGTGCATCTTGCACAAGAACCTGCATTTCTTACAAACGACGAATCTGCACTGGCATATCATTGCTGTCTCTTTTTAGGATTCCATTATAAAACTGGGGGCTCTATTTTTATAATTAACTTTAAAATTCTATCCAGTATTTTTATTCTCTATATATGGTGGTGTTGACATAATTTACAAACCACTCTGGTTTTAGTATCTTGCAGACACCTGCATTGACTAAGTAGACACCCAATATAGGAAGCAGAGGAGCACAGCAGCCAAACTGGCTTTTTCTCTTTCATTCCTATTTCCCTAAAGAACTGAGTTGGTGAGGGTGGATGAAATTCTTACGATAAGTTTTAAAATAAGTTTCTATATCCTGTAAAATACTTAGGATGATTATTTTCTGGATATCCTTAGAACTCAAATTTGCATAAATAGTGTGATACTTTAAATAGCTTTCACTGTTGGGAGGCCGTTGCCCTCGGCCACTTCTGTGATACATCTTATGGCAATTAGTGAGATAATTGGCACCCTGAGGAGCAAGTGGTAGCATTTAAAAATAAACTGGGTGCTTATTTTAGGAGTAAAATGTATTTATGTTCATCCTTACAATTCATGGTCTGTTCATCCAACAGGAGCTCATATATGCTCAAGACACTGAGGATATTGCTGTACAAAATTATAACTGACCCTTTAATGGCATTCAGCATGCATGAAGCACGGTCCTAAGCCCCTCATGTATGTGTATATCAGCGAGGTTGTGCCTCATAGCAACCCTAAGAGTGAGGTATTTCCCCATTTTGCAGTTGAGGTTACTGAGGCATAGAGAGTTTATGTACCTTGCCCAAAGTCATAAGAAAGACATAATCTTTATTATCATAATGTGGCCATGTCTCTGCACTCCCTTGGAATTTTGAAAAGGTTATCTTTATATATAGTTCCTAGGAAGACATTTATGGTCAACACCAATCCAATACTTATTTAAGAAGTATTGACTGTGTGTGAACCCTGGCCTGTGTGCTTGGGGCACCAACTAGAATTGGACCTAGCTCTTGACCTTCAGGGATTTTGCAGTTTAGTAGGGGGAGCAGAGGCGTCAATGACTAAGTTCAAAGACATAGTGTAGGTGTCTGAGCATCGAGGCCAGGGAGGGAGACATGGATGTGTGAGTCACTGGCATTCCAGTGGCTGTAGGAACCATCAGAGAATTGAAATTTCTCAAAGGAAAAGTAGAGCATGGCGAGAGGACTGATGGAAGCTTCAGAGGGTGAAGAAGAGAGACTGCCAAAGATATGAAAGAAGAGATAAGTGAGAGAAGAAAAGCAGAGAGCTGGCAAGAAGGAAGGAAACCTCGAGGCCCTCAGGGGGCTAAGTGGAGCGAGCGCTCACACCTCTCGGATTGGACACTAGCCCGAGTGGTTGAGTAGAGTTGAAGCGTGGGAGACGGGCTAACTATCTGAGTGATGGTGGATTATTTTTGCAAGGAAATTAGTGTGAAGGGAAAAGACGGTAGTTAAGGGGTACATAGGGTCAAGGGAAGAGCTGCTTTTATGTGGGAAAAGCCCGAGACTATTTAGGCCCCTGGGCGGGACCTAGTCTAGAGGAAAGGAGAGCTGATGGGCACCTGTCCCGGGAGTTCAGGGCCAAAGGCCGTGTCTTCAATGGGTAAAGGGGTCCCTTTGAGTCTGAGACTGAAGAAAAGGGAGGCTCAGCGAGGACAGTCCACCTGATAGGTGAGTTTTCCCGGGGAAGCAGTGCGAGGCCAGGCTATCAGCTAAGGGGGGGTGGGCACCCGAGTGGGCGCAAGAATGGACAGGGGGAGACTGCGTTGAGCTGGAGGCACGTTAGACAAGGTTAGGGAAAGGTGCCGAGGACGCCGCTGAGGACACGGCATGGGTGAGCCACAGCAGCAGCCTGTGACGCTTTCTACGCTGCTTTTGCTGAGCCATGAGGTAGGGGGGCAAATGAGTGGGTAAAATTCCAGCTTGATACAAGTCGTTAGGAGTTTTGTGGTCAGTGCAGTTGCAAGACAGGGACCAAGAGTGCTGAGGATGCTGGCGGGGTGATGCTTCCAGGGAGCCGGGTGAATGGCCGATGATGGACCAGGAGCAAAGGGAGGGGTCTTGCTGGGGTGGAAGGTATCCTGGTTGGGGGGCAGTGTGGTAAGGAAGAGTGAAGCCGAAGTATTTGGAAACTGTAACCAGAGATTGGTGTATTGGTAGCGACCCTTCTAGAGAGATGGTGTCCAGGTCCAGGGTGTGGCCATGGGACTGACAATGAAAAGGAGCCCGGGGCAGGGTCCGGAGGTATTGGATGGGTGGCCCACACCAAGGCCATCTGGGACTTGGGATTGACACTGAGCAGGCAGCCAAAGCCCTCGGTGGGTGAAGGGATGTCACTGAAAGAACTGTGATGAGAGCAACAGGGAGCCACGTAGCGTGCACCTGGGCAGCGGCGGGTCGGCTCTGGTCCGCCTGTGGTCTGGGGGGCCGAAGGCAGCCGGGGCCCCGCACGGGCTCGGCGCCGCCCTCTCGAGAGGGGGCTGTTCAGGATTCCACCTGTAGTTGCAGGCTACTCACGGTTGGTATGTTGCTGAGTATTTGTACAAAGAGTTAGGCCGAGTCTGCTAAGGCAATGCATCTTGGAGCTTTGCTGTATAAAATTAAAAATTTTAAACGCTACATTGCTAAAATCTTTTTCATTTCCTATAATCCAGGTGTGTTTATCTTTCAACCCTCAAAGCACATTGGTGGCCACGGGAAGTATGGACACAGTGGCCAAGCTGTGGGACATTCAGAATGGAGAGGAAGTATCCACGTTAACCGTACGCTAACAATGTTAATAATACCTTCAAGCGTTTTCCGTTTCCATCAGCCAGTCCCAGGGGAGCCTATTGTTTGTATTTGTTTGTGTTTGTATTTTTATTTGTATTACAAAATTGGCTCTAAGTTATACAGTGATTTTTAGACTGGAGAGAGAGGGTGTTCCCGTTGGTTTTGCTGACTGTCCACAAAGACGTGGCTGGACATGCTGGGGAAGAGAGATGAAGCCGGATTTATTTTGATTCGCTTCCACCTATAAGCCACGCCTATTACACCTTAAAAACTATGGTCATCTGTATGGCTAAAAGCAAAATAGGTGGAGGCTGGCACTTTTAGAAAGAGGCAGAACTGGGGATCCTGGCCAGAAAATTCCTCTACCCTCCAGCCTCTGTATTACAAAGTCTGAAATGACAAGAGGCAAGTGGCAGGAGGGAGCAGACCAAAGGGCCCTCGCTGAGTGAATGCTGGTGGGGTGTCTCCACAGGGGCCCCTGTCTGTCACCACCACAAATCTAGCACCTTGCGGTGGTGACCTATTCCCCTCCCCTCCC